ACACATTACTTTCTCATCCTTACAATCTTGCTCACAGTCCGGCAACAAGGGTGATAGAATTAGTTAAAGGTGCAGAGGATAAATACAATGACTATACTCAACCAACCATACTGCTTTTCTGTATTAACATGTCTTTGCTAATTCAGAAAGACCTCAAAGAGTGGGGTGCTGGTAAAATACGGAATTCAAGCTAGTCAATTTATCGATATTTCACTTTCATTATTTATGAAAAAGAAATTCACAAATTTGAGCTTTTGTATTGAGGACATACGACGCAGGATAAGCGATATGGGAACGGTTGTTGGAAGCAACGAAGCCTATGCGTTGTGAATATATTTTAACTATCCTCTATGCATGTATCGCTCTTGTCAAAAACATTACCGGAAAGGAAAAGAATCTACGGGTCGTGTGCGGATTATGTAATCACAGCGCTCGAGAAATCACAGAAGGCAAGTCATATCAAATCACCATTGGGTTTGCTCAGGGTGATAAACTGCTATGTTAATGTTGCTAATTTCACACTGACTGTTTCATCCAACAGAATAATATGCCTAACTAATGGAAAAAACGAAAAGTCGATGTCACTTTTGGGGAACAATATGACTATTACTATTACTATTACTATCTTTACGGAATAATCACTATGGCTAGGGAGCGTATTTTCTCCTCTATGTTTCAGAAGGAATTTCATGTACAAGTGAACGTGAATACCATATTAGTCTCACTGAAGAATAGAAAATGAAGCCAATTTACGCAAAAAATTAAACAGGTAATGGACGTCATTGTTGGGTTACTGAAGGATAGAGCTGATGTTGAGGAAGTGCAAAAAAAAAAAGAGGCTAGGGTCTATGAATATCTCAAAATTAATAGTTCGCTATTAGCATTGAAAAACTAACGTAGTATATCGCATTTGGTTAGGTGGATAGGAGAAAGAGCTTTTGTTGGGTGTATTCTGTTTATCTATATGTTTATGTTTGATAAATATGACTAAAAGACGTAAGAAGGCCGATGTTCTAACTGCTCGATATAACCTAGACCTGCAGCAAAAATAGAAAACTCACTCCCGCCATTTCTGCAGGTTGTGTATTACTGCATATCTACTATATTTATTACCACATTTTTAGTAGTAAATAGCAAGTTAATTAATAATGATGACAGGTTGGCAGACGATAAATAAAGATCTATCTTGTTCCAGGTAGAGTGCTGTTATTATTATAACCATATGCCGAAATTATTTTTTATTGGTGCAACGGTACATTGTCATTTTGCGTAAAATAATATCACTTACATAAATCTATGCCTTTAGTATAGATTGTTCAATGTAAATGTTACTTTTGACAATAAATTTGTTTTTTTTTTACATTGATGTTATTACGCTTCTTTATAATAATAATATAGGGCAACTAACTAATACTTTTATAATTGACATATTAAAAAAGTTATTAGAAAAACCGTCTTCGAAAAAGGAGTAAAAATAAAGCTGATGGTAAAGTTGATGGTAAAGTTGATGGTAAAGTTGATGTTATTTTACAATACATTCTCTTCCGCAACAACTCAGCACAATATAAGAAATTCCGGTCAGTAATAAGTATTTTTTACTAGTAATGACAACGCTTTTGCATGGCTACAGTTTTTTGTGCACGACAAAAACAGTTAACAAAAGAACAACAGTATCAACAACGTAATTATACTAAGCAGAATTAACATGTTATCGTCTTCGGGTATAATACCAGTTTTTTGTCAACAACGGTAAATGGTGTTGTCACTCACATTTTTCCATGCCATGCCTGTGCCGTCTAGTTTATTGCATGAAAGAGATATTTAGGTCAGGAATTTCATAACCATAGTTGTGAAAGTCATCGAAAGCGTCGATTCTATCTTTACGGAGCAGTTTTCTGTAATGTGCCTCATAGTCATTGCACAAATCATTAAACAACAGTTAATGGATAATAATAATGAATATATTATACCCTGGTCTATCGGTTGAAGATGTG